ATCAAAAGCTGGTTATGCACTTGAATACACTCTGGTTCCAGCTGCTTAGCCAGTGAGTTCCTTCAGTTCAGTGGTCTGATTCTCTTTAAAACGTCTGCAGCAAACACATATAGCTTAATATTTGTATTTCATCTTATTTTCTTGTAATATTTAAGTTCCTGTCATTACCATCTGCCACTATTTTAAAATATATAGAGAGATTTAAGCAATGCAAATTCCAACAATTCCACTGTGTCAACCTTGTTCTGAAGAGTCAGCCAACATGTTTTTTTCAACGTTCACACCACTCCACACAATTTATCTCCCATCCTGTGTTTACTTGAAAATGCTTGCAAGAATTATGTTCCCTTCTCACTGTATCCCCTCATTGGCTCCCTGTTCTCCATTTCATCAAACACATTCCAAAGCCCTTCACAGCTTTTCTCTCCTACATCATCAAGATGTCAGTTCCCACCTCCATCCTGCCAATGCCAGCCTTCAACACCTGATTGTTACGTTAAACAAGCACCTTCAGGCCCTCTCTCATAATGCTGTACATATGGGATGAGCTCCTCAAATACTCTCAAAGTCACTTCACTGTCCTCTTTCATTTCTCTCAATTCTCATGTCACAACAATTCCTACAAAATTCTTGGCAACCATCAAGCAGCTGGTATAAGCCCAATGCCTGCATGCTAAGCAGAACTAACTTTGTGCCCCCCTCCACCTACTTGTCTAAATTCACCTGTTCATTTGTCCTAAATTATAAGCTCTTTGTAGCAGGGACCATCTCTCAGCGTGTTTGTATAGCACCTAGCACAGTAAGTCCTTGGCCCATGACATGAGGTCTTAAAGCAACAAAGAGCCTCCTTCATAAGGTTATATCTTCTACAAATGTCATCGATGACCTTTTGGTTCCTCTTCTAGATCCCTTATAAATAAGTAGAATAAGTCTGAATGTGTGATACTGCACTAGAAACACCTCCCTCCACCTCCGTACGTTGCTAGTCAGCATACCAAGTGTCTAATTCTCAGATACTGTTAGTTCACACAAGTAGGGCTATGATTGTCACACATTCACCCTATAGCATGGTTCCTGTACCACAGAGCTTGCCCAGGTCTCTGCACCTGTCCCACACACTTAAACCACCACCCAGGTTTGGCACATCCATTTCTCCAGAGATAGAGGAACAGAAGGACAAATTTGATTGTGTTACATGTTGGACACAGGGCTTGGTAACAGCTGGCACACATGCCATAAGTGGCAGCCAAGATGATTGTGTGTGGCACACTGAGGCAGGAGAGCGGAGAAAGCCTCGAGCCTCGCTGTGTAATTGGGGAAAAAGCTGGAGCCATGAAGTAAGTGCTCCATGTATGTGTGCATGCACGCCCCCGCCCCCGGCTGGAGAAACAAAGCATGCACCTGCACACTGCCTGCATGCTTTTCCCGCTGCTCCATTGGCCAGAATCCGGCCAATGGAGCAGCGGGAAGCCATGCCTGGGACAGAAAGTCTGAGAGCAGTGAAAGCGGGGGGCAAAAACAGACCTGGACACCCTCTTGCCCGTGAAGGATGAGCTGCTGCCAAGACTGTGTCCCCGCTGCTGTGCACTTGCACCTGCCAGAATGCCCCGTGGGGCTGCTGGAGTCTGTCATCCAGGTGCCAACAGGCTGGATCCTGGCCAGCTTGCCCAGCCCTGCCAGCCAGATTCCCTGCGCACCTGGCGAGTCATGGCCTCCATTCTGCACTCGGCCCATGGGCCGCTAACTTATTCCGTGTGTGGAGCAGTGTCTGGTTGTCATGTTGGAGTGACTGTTACTTTATTTCTCCAGGGTCTGTAACAGGATTTATTTATTGTAAGTGCCACCCAGACACTGCACCCTCCACCCTACCTCTGTGCCAAGACCCTGCAACTCCAACCTTCCCCCTCCCCCATGGCCAGACACCTACCCCATACCTACTACAACCCCTTCCCCCCTGGCCAGACACCTACTCCTAACCTACTCCAGCCCCCTCCCCCGGCCAGACACTCACCCACAGCCTGCTCCTGCCCCCTCCCCCTGACTAGACACCCTACTCTTCGCCTGCTCCTGCACCCCATCATGGGGAAGCGCACGCATGCACGCACAGGAAAAGCCGGAGCGGAGGCCAGGGCAGGAGACCAAGCGGTTGTGCAGTGGAGAGAACCGTCCCTCACTCCCTCTGAGGAGAGCAGTGTGGCCCAAGGCTCGGAAAGGTTGTGCGACACAGTGTTGATGCACAGAAAGTTGGTCAGAAATGGAGAAGCAGACACACTGAACTTGAGTGGACTAGCTCATACTGCCACTTAATTTGGGGGGCATTTCATGGACTTTATTCAAATTCAGTTCAACAACAACTGTGACATCGGTGAAAAAACTTCGTAGCCTTAACCTCAAGCACTAGAAGAATGTGATATGTACATAACTCCCTGGGAGAAGAGACCTTTTACATTAAGTTTATTGTATCAAGTAGGAATGTAAAATCCTGATTAATTAGTTAACTGGTTAAGTGTTAGGTTAACCTCATGTTTAAGTAGAATCCTGGGTGAGGGATCTCTCCAGCCTGGCTGGAACAGCCCTGTGTGGCACTAGTTCCCAGCCCCTGCTGCCAGTCACCCAGCAGCTCTGCATTAGGACCCAGCAAGGCTACAACAGCCCTCTACCCACAACAGGCCCTTTTCCCAGGAACGCTTATGCTTACTGGGTAACTAGTAAGCATCCCTAGTATTAAGGTGATTCAAGGTACAGTACAAATAAGAAATTTGTCTTTTTTGTTAAAACCCTATTACTGCTTCTTCTTATAATAAACACTATTTTGATGAAGAAAAACTGATGTTTTCTGTACTCTTTTGTGTGTTAAAATAAACTCCAAGCACAGCTGCCTCTAACATCACAAATCGCCAATTGATTTAATGCCAGCAATCAAAAATTATTCTTGTTAGAAATAAGTATAAAGTTGAGTAAGTAAAAAATTTAGTCAGAGGCTCATTTAATCAAACTCATTCAACATTTGGTCTAACTACCAGTATTAGTAATTACCACTTTCTTTAACAGGCTACTCTGGTATTTCTTTCAAATCTTTTCTGTGATCACGATGAAAGCAACAAGCAGTAATTATCAATATAGAAGCTATTTATTTCCTACAATTCAGTTTAAGCCTGTGATGCACAGAAAGTTAGCCTCTTTCACTCAATGCCACTGTTACATTATTGCTAGAAAGTAGTGCTGCTTCTGTCAACAAATCTTCAACTATTATACAGAAATAAATAATGCATAACTCAAAATATCTTCTGCCTGATATCATTAAGGCTTATTATATTTTCTCCAGAAATGTGACCCTGCCTTTTTAATGTAGCTGTCCAATGTCTCCAAAAAACACATCCTTCAAAGACAAAATGACGACATTTTGCTAAGTATTTTTTGTAGTTTTCTGTATCCAGTTATTTCATACATTTATTTGTGCTATGGCTAATTCATATGTAATCAATGTGTGATAATCAGAGGAAGATACCAGTACAGAAATAAGTTTAATAGTATTATAGGTGTGTAAGGCGGACAAATTTTCATAAATGATGTACTTGAGAGTTTTTCTGTCTGTTCAAGAACGCCTCAAATGATAAAAACTAGGACCACGAAATTTAGAATACAGCTTCCTCTTATCATAACCCTAAAACAAGATACGGGTTTGGTTGTGCCAGGAAAATGGGATGTGCCTGAAACAGGATTGCTTTTCATAAAACCAGACAATCACCAGACAGGTAATTGGCTGGGGACAGGGATTAGCTGGGGCTGTTCCCCACTTCCCAGGTCCAGGACTACCCCAGCCCTGAGCTTCCCACCGCACTGGCACCCTTTAGTGAGGGAAGGGGGGAGAGCTTTGCCCCACCACCCAATATATACAGCGACACGTACAACTATAGAGAACAGAAACAATCACCAGGCAGATGAAAGGAGCTGGTTGGGAGCGTGCTGCCACCCTATCTGGGACTGCCTCAGCCCTGAGCCTCTCTTGCCCTCCCCACTCCGTGGCCTTTAGGAAGGGCAGGGGAGTAAAGCGCCCCTTCTCCATTCATATTGGATAGGGTGGATAAAAAAAAATATTTTTAAAAAAATTCAAAAAAAATCTGTTTTAATTTAAATTGAATTTATTTTGAAAATCAATAAAATACTAAATTTCTCATTTAAAAATAAGTTACAATTAAATCTTATCATGAACATGCTATAGCTACACATACAGTCTTAAAAAGTAATTAATGGCTCTCATCTGTGCAGCCTAACAACCAGCTCTTGCTTCTTGAAAGTTCTGGGCCTTCAATTTCGCTCCTCAGCAGATTAACAGGTGCAAAGACAGACACAGGCTCGAGAAATGTTTTTGTTCTGTGCTTATGTGGGCAAAGCAGAGTTAGTTAAGACTGTCTAAAGATGGAGACAATATATAGGAATGGATGGAGGCAATACAGAAAGGAACAGTGGAGTGCACTGCAAAGAAAAAGGGAAGATATTCAGCACATACACAGCTTCCTATACTTCCTTAAACTTTTGCCATAGAAAAACTATCATGGCTTCTGGGTGTAAAAGTGCCTGGGAATGTTTTTAAGAAATTCATTCCCTGGGTAAAAAAAGGAACACGTGTAAGCAGCGCAAGAAGATGATGCAGGGCCTCGCTGCAAGAATGAATCATAAGGAAAACTGCTTTACTGGGAGAAAATGATGTGGATCTGTCTGAATAACAATGTGGATCAACTTTGCAATTAATCATTCTTCAAGACTCCCGCTAAGCCTTTTATTATAAAAGTGTGATTTAACAAGTAAATTCCCAAGTTGTTTGTCATGTTGGATGTTGCTAGAAAAAAAAGTTTGTCTTAGCTAATCCTTAAGGCTTGTTTAATAAGTTAACTTTGGTGATAGATTCTAAACATAGAATACAATATGGAAAATTGCAATATGATAGATTTAGAGGTGCCGGTTGTCACCAAGTGTCATTTTCTTATTTTATATTAAACAATAAATACCTGTTATTTTGGAACATCATGATCACAGACCATAATGGTAATGCCGTAAGTCTATTCCCTATTTTACATTAGCACAACTCAGCTTTTCCAAAGGAACTCCATCCTATACTTGTTTTCAATGGGGCTCACTCCAAAATTAAGTGCACTGTTAGCACAGTCAGTCTTAGCTTTTTGAGTAACTTGGAATCAGATCTGCATCAAAGTGACAAGGGGAGTGGGGAAGGTGAGTGCTACTTATAGAAGTTTTAAGGCCACCGTACAGGTAGGCAACGTCTACACTGCAGGCTTAGCCGTTCTTGTGCAAAAACTTGCAGAGCTACAATGCACGTGCATTCTTGCGCATTTAAAATAAAGCGTGGGAACAGAGAGCTTCTTGCACAAGAGTTATTCTTCTCCCCACAAGGAATAAGCCCTCTTGCACAAGAAGGCAGTGTGGATGGGCAATAGGGGTTTCCTGCACAAGAGAGCATCCACACTGCCATGGATGCTCTTAAGCAAAAGCACATCTCTTGCGCAAAAGCACATGGCAGTGTGGACACGCTCTTGCACAAAACAGTTTTTGCGCAAGAACTCTTGCACAAAACTGTTTTTGCGCAAGAAGCCTGCAGTGCAGACGTAGCCATAGTGGTCTAAGGACTTGTCTGTTACAATTAATAAAATTTGAAAATAAAAGAGTTTAAGAACTGACATCAGCCAGCAACTCAGGAGACAGCTTCAATTGCAAATGTGAAACATTTACATAACATTTAAGATTTAGTTTAATAAAATGTAAGTGCTATTGATTTGTGTGTGAGATTTAGTTCTCACCATTCCTTATGTACTACTGCTGCATGTGCAGCTTGACACACGTAATAAGTATTATGTACTATTTCCTAAATTAATAAAATTCATTATCCAAAAAAATTACACACAGTATACCCTCTTAGATGCTGTAAAATGCTGTACTGAGCTGTACATTAACATTTTAATGATCAGATATGCACCACTGTTTGAATCAGCGGGAAACTTGATTTAAATGGATTTTTGTGTGTGTGACTTAAATTGAGATACAAATCAATTTAAATCACTTTGACTTAAACCAATTCTCCTGGTATGGGAACATTACTGGCTGTTATCCTTTTTCATTGAACACAGGGAAAGTGCAGAATTTGCTGCAGTCCTCATCCTAGCTGTGCCCAATGGAGCAGCAGTGGCCATGGAAAGGCACTTCTCACCTGGCCTCAAGCTGCTGTGGTGAGAGAGCTGGGATAGTTCTCTGTCCCCGACACAGTCTGCATACTGAACACTTCATCCTCATCCCCTATTCCAGAGGAATGATTTAAATGAAGAAAAACAAAAATTATTTGAGCTAAGGACCTGAGCAATGGTGGGAAAATCTTCAGTAATAGGTATATAAACAAAAGACTGTATTGCAAGGTTTACAGGCTGAGGCTGGTACAACTGTAACAGTCATACTAGGCTTTAGACCAGCGATGGGCAACCAAGACTAGTAAGTAGGCTGCATGAGTGGCCCTCCTTTGTCTCAGTGGGCTGCATGATTCAGTAGTGGGCAAACTGTGGCCCACTGGGGTTCCATCGGAGACCAACAGACCTCTTCTACCTCTTCCCCCACGCCTTTGGAGCTCCACATTTCCTACTCCCTTCCCTTCCCAGCACTTTTTGAGCACCATGAATTTGCAGATTCGCATTGTGTTCCGATTCCTCCTCCTTCCCTCCCCCCAGCTTGAACAACTGTAAACAGCTGATTCACAGCATCCTATCTGGGGATGAAGGGGGAGGCACAGAGATAAAGCATGACTCAGCAGATTCATGGCACTCCTCCCCTTCCCTCACAGCACTTGTGAAATAGGAAGTGCAAGACTTCACTACCCCAGTGCACAAGAGAAGTATGATGGAGGGTGCAGACGGGGTGTGCAGGCCACAGGTTGCCCACCACTGCTTTAGAGCTAAAGAAGGGCTGACACAATCCTGTGCTGGTGAAGTTACAATATTACTATAAACACATGCTAAAAGGTGATTTTTAACAGAACGTGCCACAATGTACCCAGCTAGACCGCAAGGCACCTGACTCCAATATCATGGAAAATACTGCAGCAGCCACATGTAACAACAAGTTCCCATAGTAATAAGAATTAAAATAACAGAAATTAAGAGGATAATTTATGAAAAGCAGCACTCTCCACCCCCCACGCACACTGCTGCCTCTGAGAGAGGAGGGTCCACAGAGCTGGCGCGTATTGGTTCCTACCTGTCCTCCTCGCTATCTGCACTGCTGCCTATCAGAGGCAGCAGCACAGGGATGGAACTACTGGATCCCATCTCCTCCCCTTTGCTGCCTCTGTATCAGAGGCAGCAAGGGAGGGGGGGAAATGTGTGTAATTAACAGGATTAACCAATAAGCTCAGGCTTATTGGTTAATCATGTACTCACCTACACACTGACATTTCTGGTCTCAGCCCGTCATGTACTGTATACTGACAATGTCCATCAGCAGCAGTAGCTTGAACCCAGATGTGCTGTGTAAGTTCAAATGCTAGAATTATCTTGCAGAAAATGTATTTCGCTTCATTTGTGTGCACGCACAGCGAGGCCTGCTAGAGGAACTTGACCGTTCAACTCCCCCAAACAACTGTGCATCCCTGTTGCTCCCGCCTCAATTCGGGAGGCCCAGCCTAGTCCCCCCCAAAAGCTCCCGAAGTTCACTCTGCAGAACCAGGGAGTGGCTTGCGGGAGTATTCCTGACTGCGAAGCATCGGGCAGACAAACTCTGCAGCTGGCAAACAGGTGACAGACGGGCCCCCCCACGGCCCGGCCCAGCCCATGGGGCGGGGTACGGACGGCTACAGGAATGCATCCAGGCAGGGCTACACTGCAGAGAGGGGCAAGTGGCCCAGCGCGCCCCGGGCTATAGCGCACGCGCATCCGAGCAGCGCGGACGCGCCTGCCCCGGCTGCAAAGCCCCGCGGGGCCCGCAG